GTGTGTGTGTGTGTGTGTGTGTGTGTCAGCGTTGTGAAATCAGGCGCTCTTAAAAATATCAAAATCCAAGAAACCGACAATTTTTCGACGTTTGGGAAATTTTTTGTCGATTTTTTTCGTTTGTTTTGTTTTGGGCTCAACACCTTTTATGTCCATTAAAAATATACATTCCTGAGTGGACTTGGAAAAACGTAGATCAAAGGTGCACAAATTGTACATTTCAGTCTCTGAGAATTCACGATAGAGCTATGCGGATGACCACATCGTTGGCATTGTCTGCTTTTCCAATAAATGTCTATTACTATTATAAAAGGCGTTGGCCCTTTGAAAATGTGCTCTGTCATGTATAAAAATGTCTACTTCAATGACACCACGTAAAAAAAAAATTTGAATACGACATGACGATCTAGATCTAGTTCAAGCACCTGCACGATGTACTCATCTAAACGAAGCCATCCGTTGATTCTCACAAGTGGAGTTTTGTTTATTCTAGCCAGGCCACTCCAAACGATGGTAGTTTTGTGGTCTCTCTTCCTCAGTTGCAGATGATTTTGTCCAAAATCGAACCAACACGCCTATGCTCAAGAAGGGTATAGTGCTCTATTCAAATCCAAACTCTTAAAAATATAGGCCTACAAATAAGGACATGTAACTTTAAGCCCAAGTTTGGCGTGTCATTAATTTTGTGACTGCTCCGTTTTCTTATCTATTTTAAACTTTCGTAATAAATATCGTTTATTGCCAACAAAAAGAGTTCTCCATTTATTTGACAATACATGTACATGCTCGTTCCACCAATACAAGCTCAAAACACAATTTTGCGTTTCTTCTTTTTTTGTACAGGTTGAGTTCAAGTTTGATAATACGTCACTTTAATTTACTTTGCCACCCAGCCTGTTGTAAATGAAAAGTGTCTAATTATTAAGGGTACTGTCTTAATCCATATACGTTATGCATTAATTTAGTAGGGTGGAGGGAGGGTACCTAAGCCATATTTTGCAGAGTGGGAAGGGGGGAATGAGGGAGGTTTAGTTTTAGTAGAGGTTTTACGGCGCTCGCAACTGCATAAGGTCATATATGAGTGCCAGAAGATTAGAGGTGTTACAAGAGAGTAACAAACATAAAAAAGAAGAAGGGGAGATAAGGTCGATAGATGTTTGATAGGAAAGAAGAAGCAAACCGCACCAGAGCACCCGCCAACCTCTCACAGCGGTTCTTCGATTTCACAGAATTTTACCAAGCGTGATTTTTCAAAGGTCAATTTTTGACCATATCTCAGTCGACTCTTAACGTAGACGAAAAATTAGTGTGTCAGATGTTGTCGAATTCATTAAGCTTTAAATTGGAATGTTAATATTGTGTGAGTGGGTTGTGCAAGGCTTTACACGATTATTGGGTGAATACATTGTCAAGTTTCTTTCGGACGCCACTGAGAGAGAAAGAGAGAAAGAGGGAGTAAAGGGTGGGTAAAGAGACAAAGTGAAAAAAGAGAGCGAGGTAGAGAGCGAGATAGAGAGCGAGAGCGAGAAAGCGATATAATATATATATA